TACAGAGATCCCTTCAATCCTACAAAGTAATATGAAATCTTTGGGCTTAACCAGAAAAGATTTATCAAAGAGCTATGAACAAAAGAAAAAAGAAAAAAGAGTGCTACTCCTGTCCTCTGAAGATGCCGGCCACAGAGACTGGCAAAATGTTAGGAAGAACAACCTTCAAAACACGGCCAAAGAGCCCGAAACACCCAGAACAACAAAAAAATAATATTTCTTATTCTCAAGGAACTTACTTTTGAAAGACACAGCATTTATTAAAATAAATCTATTTAACAATATTGTTGAATAGATGAAGACAAAATAAACTAGAGACCTGTTACTAGACCTCAAATATATAAATATATAAAGCATAAAGCAATTGTGGAAGATATCATTATGGCAAAAGGGATCCATCTTGAAAGGGAAGGAGCACATTACATAGGTAACCCTGAGCCACACTGGCAAGGAGGATCAAAAAAGGAATGAAAAAGCAGCATGCATTAGCACACAGCTCATTCATAGTAATATGGTGAGTGTGTGTCCCTTTTTAAATTTTGGAATTAATAATGGCTCATCAGAGCAAGCTGGTCCACAAGGAAGTACATTCCACTGAAATCAGTATATCTTATAAGTCTATGATCCAGCACCCTTTCTCTTTGTTTTCCATACCAGTCTGCCATGAAAAGCAAAGAAATAATTACTTCATCAATGTTTGGGTGAGTTTTAAGCATCCTTTAAAAAGTCATAACAATTCCAGTCAATCTGATCTGGACCAGAAACGAACACTCCCTGGCACCCTGTACGCTGACTCCAACACAAGTAGTCATATGAAAGAGATACCCACATTATACCTCATCGATACAAGCCTTCCCCCTGAAGTTATATTTATGATTTGTCACTTCACAGGGATAGCATGAAGCAATTCACTGATGAATGCAATAAGAACACAGCCAAAATAAATTCTTCACTAATTCCACAGTAAATTCCCCATATATTTCCCAAAATGCCTCCCATTCAGCTAAACACAATTTGAGGTCTTCAAATGTACTTATATATTGGCTACCTCTACAATGGGAGATGAGAGTTTCGGCAGTGCTCTCATTGGATTTAAGACTTCAATTCTAAGTAAAACTGTTCACTTATATTCCAGTGCATTACACAATGTATTTACATATATATGCATGCGGAAGGCAGTATAAGTGTTTGTTTAGTTCATAAATGTGGAAAGTGGTTTTTGGACTGTGGTTTTAGATATTGACTTTTTGTTGATCAAGTAAAAAGCAATGGCATAACATGTAAAGAACTGCAAGTAACCACACATTGACCAGGAAGTTCTTGAACATCTTTGGTACTCCATTATCTTTGGAAAGATAATCTGCTTTAAACTTTAGTACATACTGTGCTCCTCTAAAACTGGCTAGTGCTATATATTTTTTCCTAGTAATTTGTTTTATTTATTTATTTATTTAAAATATTTTTACCGTGCCATTCGCCTGAAAAGGAGCCATGACAGCTTACATCATTAAAAACACAATATTAAAAGCTAAAACAGTAAATTATTCAAATATTTAAAAGGCATTAATAACATATTAAAAATATTAGGTAAAAGTATTACTAAAAACAAATTTAGAAGCAACAAAATATGAACCATCCTATTTATTTTCTCCTAGAGTCAGTCAGTCACTATAGGAAAAGCCTGCCTGGAGAGAGATGTCTTCGCAAACAGCTGAAGACTGTAGACTATAAGAGCCCGATTACAGAGATCCCTTCAATCCTACAAAGTAATATGAAATCTTTGGGCTTAACCAGAAAAGATTTATCAAAGAGCTATGAAAAAAAGAGTGTAATGAGGCCAAGAGAAAGGTCTCCCCAATGATCTTAACACCCATGCAGGCTCATAAAGGAAGATAGTTTTTTTAGATAGCTTGGACCTAAACCATTTAGGGCTTTATAGCTTAAAAACAGCACTTTGAATTGTGCTCGGAAACGGATCAGCAGCCAGTGGAGCTACTATAGTGGGGGTGCTATATGATCTTTGTAAAAAGTTGCAGTTTACAATCTGACTACAGCATTTGAGCCCATTGAGCATTTGCCACTTAAAGGCCCTAAATCTGTGAATATACACACAAATGCTCCACAAGATTCACAAAATCATAACAATTTTGGAACTGTCAACTCCAAAAGTATCTGGCTGCAAAGCCAAGGGCTGGGAGTTCGTTTCCCCACTGTGCCTCCAGGGAGAAGAGCCAGACAGTTAAGCTGCACAGTCCAGGGCACTCCGAGAAAAAGAGAATGGTAAACCAGATCTGAATATTCTCTACCTAAAAAAACCCTGAAAAGGGTCACCATATTTCAAAATTGACTTGATGGCACATGATGATTATTAGTCTAAGGTACACCAAGAATCAAATAATACATTCCACTACCAATGTGGGAAAACCACAGGTAAAGTGTCCCTGATATATGGCCATTCAAACTTCTATTTGGAAAACTTCAATCCACTACTTTACACAGTACAGCCAAACAGCTCTTGCCATGAAAATGTTCTCTTTAAGGTTTAATTGGTATCTATTTTCTTGTTACTGTAATTTGAATCCACTGAAGTGGGTCCTATAGCAGAAAACAAGCTTACTCCATCTTCTATGTGTCATGGAATTTGGACTTTCATGAAGTGCAAAGATCTAGGAGAAAGCTGGGCAAAGGGGATATATGCTTCCCTGATCATGTTCCCTTTACTTATAAAATGTTCGTCATAGGCTTCTGTTTGGATCAACACTTTTAAAAAATTGTTTTAGGTGTTTCCAGACCTGAATCAACTTGACCCATCAACAACTCTGGGGAAAAACCATTTGCTACCAGTTCAAAGGCTGCATATCATTCCCATCTTATTAAAACATTTATACCGGCAATAAACTATAGAGGCTCAACACCAGAAAGCACTTCATTATTTTAAGCCTTCCATTCAGATATGAAAGTCTGTAGTAAAAGAAATAAAGTTAATATGACTTTAAGAAATATAGAGCAAAAATACAAGAAAATTACTGTAGTCTCCTTCATTCCACCTTCTGGGCCTTGCTTCTACAGCAACAGAATGGTTGCGTGCAGAAAGGATGGAAAATTTTGAGAATGAACTGATCAACGATTCCAGGCTCCAATCATCATCTTTGTAGCACAGTCCTGAAAAGGGGTGTGTGTATGCCTGCTTCACCCAACAGTGAAGCAGGAAAGAAGATACAGCTATTTTTGATCTCTCTTCTCTCTCCCTCCACCCCACATTAACAACACATCCTCCTTACTAGTAACTAGGAATAACCCAAAGGCTAGGCAAAAAAAAAAAAAACCCTCTCTGCTAAATGCCACTCCTCCACAGGAGGAAATACAAAACAGCCTGTGAGAAGCCCTGCATGTTGGTTGGTGCTTGAGGGAAAGAGAAGGGCTCAAATATGTTTTGCTTTTGCATCCTACACACACTTCAAAATGTCATTAACTAGACTCCAAGACCTAGATCACAGAACTTGACAGTACATAGGGAGTTACAAATTTATGACAATCAATGGCAATAGCATTATGTATTCTTGCATGAGAATGATCTCATCAAATTCACAGGAATTTATTTTCAAATAAACAGGATCAAAAGGTAAAGATACAAATCCTCAGCATATTCAAATAGAGGCAAGTGGGGTCTTGACTTGAGAACTTAATCCGTATTGGAAGGCGGTTCTCAAGTCAAAAAGTCTGTAAGTCAAGTCTCCATTGACCTACAGTGCATTGAAAACCGATTAATCCCGTAACAGGCCGTTTTTGTTCCATTTTGGTTTTTTTCTGGTCTGTAAGTCAAATCTCAGTCTGCAAGTCAAACCTAAATTTTGCAGCCAGAAAAGTCTGTAACTCAAAAAGTCTGTAAGTCAAGCCGTCTGTAAGTCAAGGGTCCACTGTAATTCAGTCCCACTGCTCAATGGGAGTTGACAAGAACCTAAAACCTCATAACCATTCAGAGTAGTTAACTGAGCCAACCGATTTAGGTGAAAGAATTAATTGAGGCAAGAAACAGAGGCTATCACTTGCTGGAAGATGTTTCGATCACTGTAATATGTCAAGTGTGGCAATGAAACTCAGGGGACCCAAATTAAATCCCTGCTCAGTCATGAAACTCACTGTGGGCTAGTCATTCTTTCAAGCCTTATCTACCTCATAGGGTTCTTGTGAGGATAAACAGGGTAGAATACAAGTCATGCACAGTCTTGAGTTGGCTGGAGGAAAGATGGGACATAAATATTAATCAACAAATGTACATTATAAGCAGCATTTCCCAGAGTTTTGCCCCTGAACTTATGGACAGGGATTAGTAGCTTATTTGGGGCATGTACCAAGTACAGTACATGTTCACAGCCACAAGCAGAACATTACAGAGGCAGGAACGGGGAAATGACTTCCTTGGGCAATTTAAATGCCACATATAGCCCCCTCACACCACATCCAGTGATCTGTTTCCAAGGTCTATATACACTGCAAGCTGGCTGTCATCCACCCCACCACCACCACACTCTAAAACAGAAATCTGAAAGGGAACCTCTGTTTCCAAGCCAGAAGACCGCATTCCTTCCAAGGGAGGACGGGGTACTGTACTTCCCATTTCCAAAGTTAAGCGCGCCCAGCTCGGAAAACGAGCGTGTTGTGGTCGGCGGCTTCTCCTCCTTCCCTCACGCTCTCCCTTCCTGAAGCCCCTCAGCGACTTCCCTCCTCCTCCCTGCGACCTCCCTCCCCCCGGCAGGTGCTCTGAGGGGCCCTCCTCGCCCGCCCGCCCCCCACTTTCTTCTCCTGCGGCAACCTCCTTCCTGGCAGGCGGAGAGGGGGACGTGGCTCGGCACCTCCCGGCCAAGTCGCCGGCAGCGGGGCCCGGAGGAGAGA